AAAAGCTGTGCTCTGGTTTCTGATGTTTCTGATTGGCTTCCAATCCACTATAACAGCAGACACCATTTTTGTTTTTTGTACAAACAGGATTGTGAGGATTGTGGAATATCATAGGCAGTAAAGGAGGTTATTACCACCTCTGTATATTACCTGCACAGGCAGTATTTTTCAGGTTTTGGACACAGCTGTAAATCCAGTTTAAGGACATCTGCACAAGGTGCATGCAGTGTACGTACCCTGTCTTCCCACCAACAACAGGAGAAGGCCCCTCAGACACACTGCCTGAAGCCTTTCCTAGTGTAAAACAGTATTGTTTTTTTATCATAGTTCCTCATATTTCAGCTTCCTAAACAACTATTGAAAATGATGAGAAATGAGCCTTGCCATTGCTATCTGTTTGATAACGCAAACAAACCTTTCCTGTACATGTGCAGTTTTGCAGCAACTGTGCAAGGCATTAAACAGAAAAGTGTGAACTTTAAAAAAAGCAGATGTTTTTTTTGTTGTTTTTTTTTAGCAGCAGTCAATATGATGTGGTTGACACATCTCAGACAAGTGACTGCCATAGATGGTCAAATGACCTGTGTGCTTGACATTTATTGGCTCAAAGTGGTTTTACCGAATCACCCAATGAAACATGGCTTAGTTTCCCACGCAAAGAGCTATATTTTCACTGTCGATTCTACAGCGATATGTAGGTGCTTTACACCACTTTTCGCAATGTCAAATGCTTACAGGAACATAAAGAAATGCTGGTTTTATGACTTTGTTTTAGATGCTTATTTATACTGTCAAGCTTAAAACGTTCTCATGTGTACAACTTCAGACTACTTTTATCATACTTTTTTTAACTGTATAAATCAACATCCATTTTGTTGTAAGATAAAAAGCAACTCAGACATTTAACGTTTTATTTTGTGTTTCATAGAAATAAAATAATAATGTGTTGGAATTCCTTTAATATATTGCCTTTAGTTATGATGTAGTTATTTGTCTTCAACATCTACCATAGTCCTCCACAAATTTAATAAATGCAGTTGATATGGCCATTTATACAAATCTTTATAATTAAATTACCCTTACTGTATGAAGTGAGAAAATAGTCATCCTAGAGTTTACTGATTAATGTTAATCAATATTAATATTTGATTCATCCTTGATAATACTCGGTGTGAGTTGATTAGTGAGCTAACGGTTGAGCAGATAGAAACTATGAAACTATTTCTTAAAGCTACAGTTACTGTTATTAAAACTACAACAGATAAGAATGAACAAAGAATTAGTCATGTACAAAATGCAAAAAATCAAGTATCAAACAGGCCTTACTTACTGTTGTCGAAATGCAACGCCCTAGAGAGATACAGCTGTCATAAGCGGCTATGAGAGGTTTTTTGGTTTCCTCAAACAGAACACAGTTGCTTCAGAACTGAAAGAAAGTTAGCAAACTGCTTCATACATGACAGGAAAGCAGAGAGGAAGTAGAGTGATGTAAGTCCTGAGAAAAAAATGGGCGTTGGGGTAACGTGGAGATGAGACAATGCAAATCAAAACCATGTATTCAACTAGAGTTTGAACTAAACGAGTTTAGAATAAAAGTTCCTACAACAGGAAATGTTACTGAGCGCCTTAGTAAGAAATGTTAGGCATGGTTTTTTGATGTTAGAAATGGTCATACTTTACTTTTTCATGACCATTTACCACCTTTTCTTTGGTCATTTACAGTTAAACTTACTGTTTCTTGCTGTTGTGCCTTGTAGACTTTCTACAAAAAAAAGAAAAACAACAACTCGTTTGCTCTTCACTCTTAACAAAGGTTCTTTACTGGAATATGGTTCCATGGAGAACCTTTAAAGAGATAGTTCAACCAAAAATGAAAATGAAATTATCATTTACTCACCCTTGTGGTGTTCTAATACAAAAGGAGATTAAAAAAAAAAAAATGTCCCCGTACATGTCGCATGGGACCACTCTGTGATACTTTTGCTTCTTTTTTAAAAAGCTTGATGCTGATCGCCACACACTGCCATTGTATGGACAAGCATGCGCGGGATATTTTTATATATTTTTAATCTCCTTTTATGGTCCGAAAAAGAAATAAATGCATATGGAATTAGAACAACACAAGGGTGAGTAAATGATTATTTAACCTTCATTTTTGGGTGAACTATCCCCTTAACATCAATGGAACCTCCAAGGTTCTTTGAAAAATGTTTCTTCAGATTTTTAAAATGTTCATTAGACTTTTAAGAGCTGTTCACCAAAAGGTTATTTGAGGAACCTAAAATGGTTCTTCATAACCAGAGTGTACCTCTGCTTTAGCTTACTAGGAAACGTATTGTGGTACTACAAGAATTGTTGGCTTTGTATGATAAACCGCTTGTGATGTTCCTCATTTCTAAGATGCTTTAAATAAAAGTCATTAGTCTGAAAACCTATGATAACATGCGTTGTTGGTGTGTAGGCTAACAGTGGGTGCCACATGCAGTGCTTCTCAATCTGTGGTACGTGGAGTGCCCCCAGGTGGTATGCAACTCTGGAAATTCATCATAATAAGAAATATACATTTGATTTGTCATGTTATTTTTTGGGATGTTTTATTCCTAATGCCGATTTTTTTATTTGAATACAATTATATAATTTAATGAAATGTTAATGTAATTCAATAAAAGGCATATGAAATATGTTGCAACCATGAGACATAAAATGTATATTTTATATCATTAGATATTATTCCGTTTTTTCTGCCCTTCTGTCTGTGAGCTTGATTTCCTGATTCAGTTGTTTTGAGCATGATATAAAAAAAAAATAAACCAGACAAATCGTTTTATTAGTGTTTTTAAAGTAGATTGCAATATTTGAAATAATGTTTTTATGATGTTTTTTAAAATAATGTTTGAATTGTATTGTATAACTTGAATTACTATCTTGTTAATTTCAGATTCCGCTCTGGTAGGATCCTTCCACAGATCTGCAAAGGGCCTGTGTGTGAACTCATGAGAGTCTCAGCATTGGGATTTATCCTCACTAGATGGATACTGGAAGAATATTGGTAATAACCAAAATATAGTGTATGTTGTAAAATGTCATTAAGTTTATGCTCAAAGAGAATGTTTTTTTATTGAGAACCACTGTGTTAATTTATATTTGGAAGATGTGGAGGTTTGTAACCTTCTCAGCGAGCAAATACAAGATAAACATTACACTTGTTAAATGCTTACTTCCTGTGCTGGGTCACACCCAGAGCAGGACCACGGTTGTTTAACTTTGAATAATCCTACTCTACATCACTTTCTGTCTGCTTGTGTGGTGGTTAGAAAATGATGATCATCAGTTTCGGAACAAGGAAGTTAAACCACAAATAGGGAAGTAGCTTGTGTTGCTCTATTCTAAATATATTTTTAAAAGTGGGCGAAGGGAGATTGACACAGTCACCAGTCATATCTATTGCAATATTTTCTGTGAAATTAGACTTTATTAAGTTTATTTAAAAACTTGACTAAGTTTTGACTAAATCATGCAAGTGTGATTCGACATGAGTTACATACACATACAAAAAAAGAATCCTGCTTTGACTTTGTGTTAAAAGGACGTGTATAATTTCTGGGCTTCTTGTGGCACCAATCAGAACTGCAGTCTGTCTGGATGGCCTCAACCAATGGTGTGAGTTTGACAAACAACAGTAGACAGGAGAGTGTTTGAAAGTCATTATTTTTGCAATTCTGTTTGATACACAGACATTTCACACTTCACAGTTTTAAAGTTATGTATTTCTCCAGATCATTTACAATTGAAATTTTCCCCCCCAGATTTTGTTACACTACCCTAATAAGCAAAACCCAGACATCACTTTGTCATAAGTGAGATTTGCACTATTGATTACCTCAGACTCATTATCTGAGGTCAAAAAAAAATAAAAGATAAATGTTTTATTCCAGTGTATTAGGACATACATATATTGGGCCGGCATTTCACCAATGTCAAAAATAAAAGCCTATATAATTTAACAAAAATATACAAAATATACAAATATAAATATACAACAATGCACATTTCAACACTTAAAATGAAAGCATTTTACAAAAACAAATAAAAGTATTGAAACAGCCACATACTGTATGTTGAGAAAAACAAACATTTTTGACGGGACATGCATGCTATTTTCACAGCACATTATGTTTTAGGGCAGTGTTTCTCAACCCTGGTCCTGGGCGCCCCCCAGCACTGCACATTTTGTGTGTCTCCCTAATCAAACACACCTGATTCAACTCATTAGCTCATTAAAAGAAACTCCAGGACCTGAAATGGGTGTGTCAGATAAGGGAGACATACAAAATGTGCAGTGTTGGGGGGCGTTCAGGACCAGGGTTGAGAAAAACTGTTTTAGGGAGATCGAAATTTTGAACTAACAGAGTATTTCTGAATTGTTTCTGAAATGTTGTGGGAAAAATAGCACCATCTACTGAGAGGTGTGGGCATGGTGGAATAAGCCACTCAGTCATAATGTTTATGAAACTAAAACGCTAGAGACAATGTGCAAGTACTTGAAATATTACAGTAGTTTGGCTAGTGTTCTCAACAACACTGAGACTGTATTCATGATATGTGACTTGCATGCTCAGCTATGTCCTGTTTCACAACAATGCAGTGGTGCCAGTTTATCTCTATACAAACAATAAGATTTTAAGTATATTTAAGGTAAATTAATGAACTCATCATGAGTAATTAATCTAAGTACAGATTAAGTGATATAAAATAGAAAGTACTTGGTGTTGGTTGTTTGAGTTCTAGATTGGTTTTAGGGAGCACTGATAGTCTTAAACTGTCTTTTTTACAGGTTTCCAGAAACACAATAGTGTCCACTCTATATGATCTTAAAGGACCTCAATTCTTTTAAATGCTGTGCAATCACCATAACTTTTTACATAAGTTAAACTGTAAACGAGAAAAGCAATGAGCACACGTTTTTGACAGAAATAATTAATTAATTCAATTCATTCAAATGATTCATATCAATCAAAATTCTATTTAAATGGGTCATATGATGCAATTTCACATTTTCCTTTCTCTTTGGAGTGTTACAAGCTCTTGGTGCATAAAGAAGGTCTGTAAAGTTGCAAAGACTAAAGAACTTCTTTGTTTGGTCTTCCAAAAGAGGACACGACTATAAATCAGTGGTTAAGTTGTATTTACAACACTGTTCCAGAACAGTTCAACCCAAATATTCAGATGTGTGCACATTTTATGTAGAGTAGTCTACAATGCCGGCTGTTCTGACTCACAGACTGTAAGTACGTTTTTTATATATAAAGAATTTGCCACTGATGATTCAAAAGTTTTGAGTAGTGTAGAGTAGCGCTTGTTGTTTGTTATTTTTCCGATCACAAATGCAGACATGGTTTTATGTTTGCACGGAACGATGCAATGCAACACGTAAAAATACAGTGTAAGTCATTATAATCCGTAATTATGTCCCCACTGGATGCAACAAATGCCTCGTTTATATTGGGTTTTAATGTTTTTGTCTCTCGTCGCTAGGAGAAAAAATAATGTACAGTATGTGGAAAATAATGTGTTTTTTGAACCTTAAACCGCATAAACACATTTCATTACACCAAATACACAAAATAATGTTCTTTTTAGCAACATCATATGACCCCTTTAAAAATGTTTTGCCTTTGTAGGGGAGTAAAGCATGCTCACACGAATGAACTGAGACTGCAATTCTCAAATGTCCCAGTGAGTTAACACCCCACTCACACTATTAACCAGTGCTGTTAGCAGCTTAGTAAAAAAAAAATGCAACCATTTACAACATCAACGTGTATGATGTGTAGTGTTTTAAAATGTGTTCAGAGTTGTGTAGTGTATTCCAACCTTTAATTGGAAGATCATCCAAGAGTTTTAAAGAAGCAGTTGTGATGCATAGACATTGCATTGAGGGGGGAAAATCACCACTGAAATTACTTTCTGGTACTACAACTCATTAGTGTTCAGAGTTGTGTAGTGTATTCCAACCTTTAATTGGAAGATCATCCAAGAGTTTTAAAGAAGCAGTTGTGGTGCATAGACATTGCATTGAGGGGGGAAAATCACCACTGAAATTACTTTCTGATACTACAACTCATTGATATCTTCAATACTCTAAAACTCTCATATATTCCTGCTTCTCAAAGACCACCTGTGCTGATGATTGAGTGCCAGTATGTGGACTAGCAGTTTGGACATTGTCCTAAAAACATTGATTCGATTTCCCAATTGTTTGGTACTGGGGCGTCTTTCAATTCTGCAGCCTTTGCAAAACTATTCATCTACAACTTAAAATATCTGAACAAAGTACAGATGAAGTGATAAAGAAGAGAAAGTGCATGGGTTTGAAGCTGATGCGGAGTAAAACATTTCTTTAATCAATACAGACAATCAAGGTGATTTACTAAAAGATAAAAAAAAAAAGCCTTCCCACACTGACCTTCATCTTATGCAATACCATGACAAGCAACTAAATGCAAAACAATCAGTCTGTGAATCTGATTGAATCAAGGTACACAGATGTTGATAAAACATGTTTATTCTTTCCACCCACAATTTACACCAATAAATAGGGTCTGCACTCAACCACCAGCACTAGACTCCTGGCTTTGAAAAGAGCCAGATGAGCTTCCTTCACCTTACAGAGGTCAAATCTTCCAGAAGACACTCCAACTGAAACAGCAGCTGCTCTTCAACTGCTCTTCTTTTTCCAGCAACTAAAAATGAGGTGGTTTCTGCTCTTCTCTGAATGGCTTGTGGACTGGGCTCGTGGCACATACTGGTACCTGTTTGGCAGGAGAAGTGGACTGTGCAAGGAGACCATAAGCCTTCCAGGCCCACTAGCTACAGATGAAAAGAAAAAGAACAGAGTGCTTCGAAAAGGTAAGCAAGCTTTAGATCAGAGAGACTGAATTGTAAAACAACTTGAATGCAAACATGTATAATACTGACTAATTCTCCATTTCTTACCCTACAGTATTTGATGAGTTTGAGGTGCCCAGAAACCTGGACGTTATTGTGATTGGCAGCGGTATCGGTGGTTTGACAGCAGCGGCAGTTTTAGCCAAACTAGGAAAGAAAGTCCTGGTGTTGGAGCAAGACAAGCAGGCAGGAGGCCTGTGTAAGACCTTCACTGAAAAAGGCTTTGAGTTTGACTGTGGTAAGATAACCTCAGCAATGTTCATGGAGTTGTATAAATGATTGCTTGATGAAATGCTGAATGCATTTTAATAACTGCATGATCTATTTTTGTCTTAAAGGCTTCCATTATGTTGGACAACTTCATGAAAACGGCTTCCTGAAAGTTGCGCTGGATCTGATCACTGATGGCCAGGTGCATTTTGCTGAGCAGGGTTTCCATGTGGACACGGTTGTTATTGGTAAAGGCAAACAACGTAAAGAATACACTATCTACAGTGGCAAGAAGCAGATGGAGGCTCATCTTAAGAAGCAGTTTCCCAATGATACCAAGGCAGTAGAGGAGCTCTTCAAAATCATGAAGGTATTTATGATTTTGTTGACGTTTTTGTAAAACCAGACTTTGCAGAGTATGGCCTTTAAATGCCCTATGAATTATATATGAATGTCTCCATATTTTCCTAATAGATCTGTTCCAAGAAGATCCATCTGCTGTGTATGCTGAAGATGGTCCCACTCTGGTTTGCTCGCTTCATACTGTGGAGTGGAATCGCGGACTTGATCTCCCCAATTTTCAGATACTCCCGCACCAGTACAACAGACGTGGTCAAGTCTTTCACTAGCAACCAAGACCTCCTCACTGTGTTTTCTCAAATATTTTATGGTGAGAGAAGAAATTTCTAGTCTGCTCCCAACTTATTTTGCATTGAGCTATTTTATTAAATTCTTTTGGAGAAGTTTCAACTAGAAACACTGTTTTCCTCCTGAAGGTGTCCCACCCAAAAACAACAGCTGCATGATTGACGCCCTCTTCCTTCACCACTCCAAGCGTGGCGTATACTATCCTAAGGGTGGTGCTAGCGAGATCCCGTACCACATCATCCAGGTTTTGGAGAGGCATGGAGGAAA